TCTCCAGCTTCACATCTAGAGTAGTCACTTTGAGCTACACGCTCACACTTCCTACAACAACATTGGTTCAATGCATTACAGCATGAGTGATTATCCAGAAGCACTTTTATCTCATAAAAAAGCTCTTGAAATCAAACAGCAATCACTTCCTCCCAATCATCCTAGTTTGGCTCATTCCTACAACAACATTGGTGAAGTACATCGCAGCATGGGTGATTATCCGAAAGCACTTTCATCACATGAAAAAGCCCTTGAAATCAAACAGCAATCACTTCCTCCCAATCATCCTGACTTGGCTATGTCCTACTACAACATCGGTTTGGTTTATAAAAACTTGGGTAATTACCCAAGAGCTTATACATTTTATGAACATGCTATACAAATTGGAGAACAATCATTAAGTTCAAATCATCCTCATCTTGAAATATATAGAAAGAGCCTCGAACGCATGAAAAACAAATAATAAACTGTGGTGCTATGGATTTTGTTTTGTACGAAAACGAAAAAATAAACATTTTAAACAAAAAAAGAATTGTTTTAAATGCGCGCGCGTATAGCGAAACTCTAATCTTGTTGAGAACACAAATGAGTAGTAATATCCATCGATAAAGTAAACAATACATATCAAGAGACATGTGTTGTAGAAAAAGATCTTCACGATATATAGTTATTGTGTCTGAACAAGGTAAAGTTTCTCTTTGTTGGGTGAGAAAAAGAACGATCATCCAACAGGCTTTTTAAAGTAACGAATAGAGAGGGGAAAAGAACTGTATTTATTCATTATAATGAATTATGCTTTCTGTTCCAGTAAAAAGAATAAATCATAGTAATGAATAAATAAACGAAAGATACAAAAATAAATAATTTCTATAGTTATTAACATACGGTGGAACAGATCAGTATGTTAACACGAATAGAAAACACTTCTCAGATCAACTTGAGGGCGGGAGTGGATATTACATTTCAAACACACCCATGCAGCTTCTCAGTCTTTGAAATAAAATCTGCTAGAGATGAGCACAAAAAACCGTTAATCTATGCAGCTAATTATATACAAATAAAGATAGATATTGATTGATAATTGATTATCATTCGAAAGAAGTAAAGATATAACTATACAATCTGCATGATCATATGTACAATCATCAATAAGAATATATTACAAACTCTAAGGCAACTATTCTCATTGATTAAATAGTAACACAAAAAAGAATAAATATGCGAATAGAGCTAACTAACACATTATTTTATCGATTGTTCTTTATAGATACTAGAACGTGCACATAGTAGTGCAAGTGACCATTCTTTCAAGTTCGAAGTACTTAAAATATGTTCAATTTTTTCTGTTCGACATTCAAAAGTGTAGATGTTCTCTAATCATGAAGTCACGAAAAAATAGTTTTTAAAATAATTAAAACCAGTTTCTTCGTTCAATAAAGACTTCTAATAGTTAAAATTTTATTCCCGATTTTACTAGCAGATTGATGTTCGACAATCTTTTTCAAGTCTCTTCTAAATTAGCGTTTATTGAAGTCATTTGTAAATTATTCGAAATGATATTGTAAAAGTTGTAGTTGTTAGTCGAAAACTATCATCAATATTCATATGAATCATAATATAATTGAAAAGCTATCATTAGACTTTAACTGCTGTAATTATTACATTAATCATCAATAATATGATGATAACGACATTATCTGAAATGTGTTAAAATGTTGCAGTAAATGTAAGTTATATAAATGAACAAGCTAATGAGATCTTTTTTGGTTAAAATCAATGAAATAGTTCCAATAAATATTGCGAAAACAGTCCTCTACCATTCATTAGAATCAACGGATTTAATTGAATCATATTATCTATTTCAACTATCCAATGTTTTTTCAGGAACGTAATACCATCAAATGGTTTTTCTAATTCACTTGTTAATCCAACATATTTTCAAATACAAATATTAAGTCGACTAGTTTATGATATTTTCCATCAAATCATTGTTCTTTACCTTCAGCGAGTTAAATATCGAGTATCTCAGCATGATGATCTCCTATTCCACTACCATTCTTAGTGTTAATTAAGCATGTGAATAAATAGCCACTGTTGATCAAACATTAACTCCATGATTTTCAAACATTCGAAAAAAAAGAATTAATTATGGCAAGAAAATTACAACTCTTTAGAGCTGAATGTTAGTAGAAAATATCAAAATAAAATAATATTATGTTATTTCGAAAAATAGTGGTCATTAATCATTCATTAGTAAATTGAATCATTACTAAGTTGAAAAAACAAATAAAAGAATAGACAATAAATATGTCAATGAAGAGATCACTATTAGATGCCATATAATATCTTATTTGATAGATTAAAATTGCTATTAATTATAAAACTTTAAGGGTGTGGATGTAGTTTCATCTTTTCTTTCGTACACCCACACATCGATAAATAAATCTTAGTCGAATGAATTTCGTGTATGATTATTGTACTCGTTTTGACAATCTTTCAAACAGAAAATATTTTTTGTTTTGATTTTAACATCAATTAATCCATTTCAATTGGAGAACACAAATTAAAATAGTAATAAATTCCTCAATTGGAACTATCATTTCGTAGATGATTACTATTTATTTAGTATTTCTGTTCGACAATCACGGTTCTATTCGTTATTCTATATCTGAAACAATAGTTATCGTGAAAGGTTCCTTACTACAGTAAAATCTTCCTATAGTAGAGAGATGTATAAATTAATCATAGATTTTATAATGATTATGATTCAACGTAGAATGTGTTGGTTAATGTTGATCAATGAGACGTACACGAGGGAGAAAAAGAGACACCGATTTCAAGGGTGTGAGTCTGTTCCTCACCCACCTCCACAATATTTTAATAATTTTGTTCGGTACAGATAAATGATTTATTTTTGTTAGTCAGGATTTTTAAATCTCGATTGTATTATTGATTTCTTCCAAATTATCTTATTTATTGTTTGTGTGTCGACAATTGTGATTTTTTCAATTTTTGAAAACGAGATGAATTCATATTTAATAGTTTTTCTTTATTATAATTATCAATGATGATCAAGTGAAAATATTTTACTATGTTAAATAGATAATAATATTAGGCAAGTTTTAATAGGTTCCTTCCAATATATATTAGTGAACATACTTTGTATAAGAACAACATTGTTTTTGTTTATTAGCTTAAGATAACTAAAACTATGCTGAGTGTGAAGAGATAACCGGATCCTTGCGGTGACAACGGATAAACGAAATTCTATCAGCTAAAGAAAGAATTAATCGCTATAGTGACATCATTAATTCCAACTAAGTTCATGTGTATTTGAAGACGTCACGACATAATTAGTTTATCAATAATTTCTTTTCGATGCTCAATAGATGGATATCTGCATTTAGTTTTTTCTAATTACGTTTATTATTGTTTTCCAGAATTATGGTTTTCAATATCGACTAACACAATAAGAACGCTGCGGCATCTTCCCAGGTCCTATCATTCATAAGAAAATTGAATAAACTTTTGTTTTATTTCAAATTTTCGTTTATCGTCATAAAATTAGAGAAGTGAAGAAATAAAGAAAAGAAAAATCTACAACTTAGTCTATCCATCGCCATAACATTTTTATTTACATACTCTTCTACCAACACATTTGTCACTGACTGCATCGGTAAGAACGAAAAAAAGATGGCAACAATAACAAAAATACATTACTGTTTTGCTTTTTGTTTTGTTCGCTGCCATTGAATTAATTTTGTTGTTCACTAATGATCGTCACGTTTGCATACTTTCAGACGCACCCAAACAAAGCCATGTGCACAATATAACAATACTTTTCTCAAGTTTCATCATTTTTTCGCGAAATGATTTAATGTTTTGTAAGCAACGTACATACACTTTTTACTTTTCGACAACAAAAAAGTGTTTATATCTTTAAAAGATCTTTGAAGACGTGCCAAGCTATATGTAATTCATGGGCAAAAAGGATAGAAAACTGGATTTATGCTGTATTTTTATCATGGGAATCTTTACTGAGTACACATCGAACATTTCTAGTCAAAGAATTATGAGATCATTCTTGATTAGGTTACCGTTGTCAAAAATAGCAAGCAACAAAGTTTACGCCTGATTGAAACTTACAATTCAGAAAAAATTATTTTTTATTGTAGTTTGTCTTCTCAGTAAATCTGTTTAACTTATTGTAAACGGTTTTTTTTAATTCTGTTCCAAAATGTGCAAAATTTTACGTTTTTTGCTCTATATTAGATGTCATTTATTAAAACTGAGATTTTCCTTCATCTTCTAGTTTTCACAAGGAATTATTTAATTGAACAGTAATTCTGATTTATTTATATTTGCTAGGTTATTTTAAAAGTAATCATATATTCATATAAAGATCAGGAACTATTATATTATAATCACCATAATTAATCGAAGATGAAAAATAATTCATGATTAAGTCTATTTTTTTCTTTGTTAATGACAAATGCAATTTTGAAATGATCAATTTTTGCCATCCACATAATAATCACATGTAAGCTTTCACTCGAAAGCTAATTTAAAAATCTTTCACACTTCATGGCTACTAATTAGTGATCAATAAACATGTTGTCAACTTGCGGATTCTTAAATAACAAACACCACTGGATGATGTTTTTCTCTGTGAAAAGAAGTAAAATCATTCTTTTTTGCGGACTATTTCGATGTTTGTTTTTCATAGCAACATCAAAAATAATTAAAGAGAACAAAACAACGTTTCGAAAGAAGGTGGACACCTATACAAAAGAATCGTTCTTCGTCATTACTTCACTAATAAATTTTACAAAGTAACTCGAATCCAAAACATTCACGCTGTCAATGATGAGCAATCAACAATCAACAACAAATGCATACACAGTTCCAAAAGGTGCAGAAGGTCGCCGATGCATCAATATCCAACAGATGCAAAATGTACTTCTAGTCTGGTTAGACAGCAACATTGACGAAACAGATGATGATTGTCAAAATACAATCACAAAACTACGATGTGCTGTTAACGACGTCAATAGATATACAAACGGTGATAAATGTCTTGAATTCATTCAAACCATCGTCGACAAAAAAGTATGTATGATTATATCAGGATCACTTGGACAACAAATTATGCCTCGCGCACACAATATGTCGCAAGTTGATTCAATTTTCATTTTTTGTGGCAATAAAAAATTACATGAACAATGGGCTAAAGATTGGCCCAAAATAAAGGGTGTCTTCACAGATATTACACCCATCTGTGAAGCACTGAAGAAAGCTGCTCATCAATGTGAGCAGAATGCCATTCCCATGAGTTTCGTGAGAACAAATAAAAAGTTGGATCAATTAGATCCTTCTTTTATGTACACCCAAATCATCAAAGAAATTATATTAACTATCAAATTCGGTCAAAATCACATACAAGATTACCTTAATTACTGTCGTGAGGCTTTTACTGACAGTAAAGAGGAATTGATTAATATTAAGCGATTAGAAGATGAATACCACAAGAAAACACCCATTTATTGGTATACTTGTCAGATGTTCCTGTATCCAATGCTCAATCGTGCATTAAGATTGATGAACGGTGACATCATTACACATATGGGTTTCATCATTGGTGATTTACATCGACAAATTGAACAACTGCACAAGGAACAATATGCTGGTACAACTGCTGCTGACACCTTTACCGTTTATCGTGGTCAAGGTTTACCTACAGAGGATTTTGAAACAATGAGCAAAACTAAAGGTGGTCTTGTTTCATTCAATAATTTCTTATCTACTAGCAAAGTTCGCAATATATCACTGGGTTTTTCTCAAGATGCTGCAAGAAATCCAGATCAAGTCGGTGTACTTTTTATCATGAAAATTAATCCTACTGAATCAACAACAACATTTGCTTCCATTACTGGCATCAGTAAATTTCAGAAGGAGGAGGAAGTCTTATTTTCGATGCATAGTGTTTTTCGTATCCAGGATATTAACCAAATGGGCGAAAATAATCGTTTATATGAAGTTCATTTGGTATTGACTACTGACAACGATCCAGAATTAAGTAGACTTAATGATTACATTCGAAAAGAGAGTTTTCCAAACAACGAAGGATGGTACAGATTGGGTTCGGTACTATATAAAATAGGCCAATTTGACAAAGCTGAAGATATTTATCAGGTTTTACTTGATCAAGCCAAAGATGATAAAAACAGGGCACATATTTACAGTCAACTTGGTTCGATCAAGAAGGATCAAGGAAAATATGGAGAAGCACTAACATTCCATAAACAATCACTTGCTATCTGTCAAAAAACGCTTTCTCCCAATCATCCTGATTTGGCTATGTCCTACAACAACATTGGTATTGTGCATTACAACATGGGTGATTATCCAAAAGCACTTTCTTATTATGAAAAAGCCATTGCAATTCGACAACAATCATTTCATCCCAACCATCCTGATTTGGCTGCTTCCTACAACAACATTGGTGAAGTGCATAGAAACATGGGTAATTATGCGAAAGCACTCTCATCTCATGAAAAAGCTCTTGAAATCAAACAACAATCGCTTTCTCCCAATCATCCTGATTTGGCTCAGTCCTACTACAATATTGATTTGGTGCATTACAATACGGGTAATTATTCGAAAGCACTTTCTTATCATGAAGAAGCCCTTAAAATCAGACAACAATCACTTTCTTCCAATCATCCAGATTTGGCTTCTTCCTACAACATCATTGGTGAAGTGCATAGAAACATGGGTAATTATGCGAAAGCACTTTCATCTCATGAAAAAGCCCTTGAAATCAAACAGCAATCACTTCCTCCCAATCATCCTGATTTGGCTCAGTCCTACAACAATATTGGTTTGGTATATGAAAACATGGGGAATTACTCAAAAGCTCGTACATTTTATGAACATGCTATACAAATTGCACAACAATCATTACGTTCAAATTAGTGGCGTAACCAGGGGGGGGCCAGATGGGGCTTAGCCCCATCACCGAGTGTTTAAGCCCCATCACCCGGATTTTGTGGAACTCACGTAAATTTTCGAAGAAAATCGTGAGTGTAAGTTTTAAGTTCAAGCTTCCCAGCTCCCCTCCCCTCCCCCCCCCCTCCCCAAATTCAATAAAAATACGCAAAAATCATTAAAAATAGCTATAAATTGCTAAAATTTTAATAAAAATACTGAAAAAACGTTAAAAATAGCTGTAAGTTGCGGGATTTTCTATAAAATATAAGTAAAATGGTTAAATACAGCTATAAATTAGTAGAATTTTAATAAAAATAAGCAAAAATAGTTAAAAATAGCCATAAATTACTACAAATTTAATAAAAAAAAATAACGAAAATGGCTATAAATTGCGGAAATTTTTATGAAAATAATGACAAATCGCTAAAAATAGCAATATACTGCCGCAAATTTAATAGAAATAACCAAAAATTGTTAAAAATAGCTATAAATTAACTAAATTTGAGCAAAAAAAGAAGACAAAGGGCTTAAACATGATCAGATATTTTGATGCGAACATACGTGAGCTCCACATTTTTAGCCCCAACGGGGCTGCGCTGATAAGCTTTTTTAGTTACTAAACTTGACAATCAAAAAATCCAAAAGACTAGACAGTTTTGGGCAGAGCTGGGCAACTCAGCAGAAAAAAGTGAATTAATTCAATTCAATTCGTGAAAAAAACTTTTGAATTCAATTCAACGCAATTCGCGTTCACTAAAAATTTTCTAGAATTCAACTCAGTTCAATTCAATTCAGTCATAGTAAAAAGTTGTACTCAATTCAATTCAACTAGGTTAATGAATGGAATTGAGTTAAATTGAGTTCGTCATTTTTCGAACTGAGTTGTCCATTCCTGGTTTTGGGGCTGAGCCCCATCACCCTTAAATTCCTGGTTACGCCACTAGTTCAAATCATCCTTGTCTTCAAATATATAGAAATAGCCTCGAACGTATAAAAAACAAATAATAAATAGTATTATTATGAGTTTTGTTTTTATGAAAGAGAAAAAAGATACTTTTTGAGCGAGAAAAGAATTGTTTCAAATGCGCGCGCGTACATAGTAACTCTGATCTTGTTGAGACACAACTGATTGGTAACAACCATCGGTGAGGTAAACAATACAACTCAACAGATGTGTATCGTAGAAAAAGACCTTCACGTTATATAGTTATTGTATCTGAACAAGGTAAAATTGCTCTGTGTTGGGTAAGAAAAAGGACGGCTACCCAGCAGGCTGTTTAAAGTAACGAAGAGAGAGAAAAAGAACTAAATTTATTCAATACTATGAGTTATTCTTTCTATTCAAATAAAAAAAATAATTTATATGTAATGAATAAATAACCGAATGATAGAAAAATAAATGATTTTTAAAGATATTAACATATCGTGGAACAGATAAGTATGTCAATATGAATGGAAAACATTTCGCAACTCAACTCAACTCGATTGAATAAAATGGACTGAATATATCGATAGTACCAGTATATATGATATACAATGAAGAAAAAGTCCCTTAGTATGATATTTTCATTCAAAGAAATGAATAATATATCAAAGAAATCATTGTTCTTTTATTGAACACAAAATCAATGTATATTTATGAAAAGATACAATCAAATGATTTTGATTAAATATTATTCATTCATAATTTTGTCTTTTAGTTATTGTAAAAATGATGACATCGAAAAATTCTCAAATAAACTTCAAATCTAGAATTTTTTTGTTATATCTAATTTTACTCTTGCAACTAGAGACAGCACCTAAATGTGTTCTCTGGTAATATTTACTTGTATTTAATTGAATGATGATTAAATGAAAAGCAATGTATTAATGGTTTAACACTTATTTTGATTTAAGTGAAGCCCTATTTTATATTACAAATTACGAAACAAACGAATCGAAATCAGACTATCAATTATGAATAAACTAGAGATGACTGACGCTTAAGATTTGCATTAATTTTTGTAAATAGAAATAAAAACACTTATCTCAGATCCTGAGCCCTTGATCACCTTTGGTCAAACTTTGACTTTAACTTTAAGGCAATGAATATTTTAACAACGAGTAGATTGATCAAAAAAACTCGAATAGAAGATAAACTGAGTTAGATTTTCTTTGAGATATTGATATTTATCAATCTATTCTTACATTCAATGTTCTTCATATAATATACCTGTTGTTTTTTTATTGTTATATTATTTAATGAAGAAAATGTATTTATGATTTAGAAAATCTTGTTTAACAAAATAAAAGAAATAAAGGAATTAATACGAAAGACTAAACAATTTTGCATTAGACGAAAGCATACACTATATAAAAAAATATTAAAGTCGTTCGAATGGACAGAGAAAGGTATATAAAATAGACGAATAAAATAAATATTAAATATTACAATATTTGTTCATGAATATTAATAATAATAAAAAACATGTATACAAGTATTATCTTTAATACAAACGATTATGAAAAATAGAAGAATAAATATATAAATTGATATATCACCGGTTAGATATTCTCTTGCTATGTAGTTATTTGTTTTATTGTTAATTTTTCTGAACTTTTTGTTGTTGATTATCATCTTGTTTAAGTAAACGAATTTGAGTTTTATAGGATTGTGAAATTCCTCTTTGCCAAAATCGAATGATTAATAAATCATTTGGATCACGAATATTTAGTATCTCCATTTGTTTACGTTCATCCATTGACAATGTAGATGCTATTTGACAACGACCAAGTTGAAAATAAAGCTTTGCTTTACTAGAAAAACAAAATGAAAAATTCTATTGATTTAGATTAAAGTCTTTCATATAAAGATAAATAATTTCAAACCCAGTCCTATTGCATTCTGAATGTTTACTCTATAATCAAAAGTTCTGACGATAACTCGACTTTCTTTCCTATAAAAATGAACTAATATATTACTTTAAATATTTGATTTTCTGTTGTGTAATCATAGCTTCCAACGCTTCATTATCTATAGTATAATCAATTAATATTTCAATAATTGTTTTAACATAAGTTGGTACTAAACAAAAAAAAATAATTTCTTATCTTTCTTCGAAAAAAAAACTCAACTAACTATAAGTATTTGATTGTAACAATGGTAATGTTTCTAATTCAGCTTCTTGAATTTGTTCACCAGTATCATCAAATGTAATTTTAATAATAATTGAATTATTATCAAGATTTTCATCTATTTCATTTGTTGTTTCTATTGAATTCATATCAAATAAAATAAGATTCGCTGTACATGATGCTATATGATCTGTTGTTTCTATTAAATGACAACAATTATCAGGTAAAAATAACTAAAAATATAAAATTAAATTTTTCGAATTTTCTTTTTATTTTACATACACGAAAAACACTTGCAAAAGCTCGAATATAATCTTTATTATTAGTTTTATTTGTATATTTAATAATTAATTGATTACCAATAATCCAATTATAAAGTATATATTCTAAATAATTGATATTATTTAATTTCTGAATAAACATTTTAAATAATTTTAATGCTTCAAAACCATATGAAGAAAAATGATATTCTAATGAATCAAAATCATCTTCATCATAATCAATAATTTCATTAGTTGTTAAATTATTTGAATCAACCAAAGTTCCAGTTCGTTGTTTTACTATATGATCATTTTCAAATGCATCTACTTATAAAAGAAAATTCTTATAGATCAATTTTAAAAATTTCATTTACTTTGTCGTTCGAATTTCGTAGTTAAATCTTCTGTTGCTAAACCATCAAAATGTAATTCATTAATTGCTGAATTTGCCGTACGAAGAATCCAAACAAATAAAGCATGAACACGATAGATTAAATTAGAATCTTGTACAATATCACTAATCATACGTAATGTTGGCATACGTGGTGGTGGACGACATACAGAAATTACTTTTGTTGTTTCATTAAATGTTGTATTTACTTTAATATGTCCTTCATTTTCATAAGTTTGATTTGCATCATATTGTAACCAATATATAGCTTGCTTCATACAGTTATTAATACGATTCATAAGAGATAGAAGATAATATTTGTCTCGACATAAAAAACATAATGAATATAAACGTTGACTACCACGTGCATAGAAATCTTTACAAGGAAAACTTAATGATAAACAATAACCATTTTCATCATCACCAAATAAAACCGGATGATCATTTTCCATCGATTTCTATTTAGAAAATATTTTTTAGCATGTAATTAATTTTTCCTAATAGAACTTACTTCAACATTTAAACTTCTTACACATGCATTACGAATATTTTTAAATAATTCTTGATTAGGTGTTGATGGTGATGTAATATATTGCATATGATTTAACAAATCTACTGTGGTAACAAGAATACCATCAGGTGATACTGTACATGACTAAATAGAATAATTTATTTCATTGACAAAAAAAATATAATTTCTTACTTTGCATGCGACTTTTCCTTGTGAATTGTCTGATTTAATATATTGAGAATAGATTGTTTTTAATATTTCATTATCATTATCATTTCTATCGTGTGTATATGGTCTTCCTTCTGTACATAATAATATTTGCGGACCATGTGTATCGCAAAAATGTTGTAACGCACAAGACGCATTCATATAGACATTAATAAATCGGATATAAAAAAATTAATTGTTTGTTTTTTTAATTAATATCACAATAAAAACTAATAATAATCTAAAAGTTATCAATATAAAATTAAATTGAAATAAAAGTACTCAATTATCATATTAATAACTAACCGATACAATAAAAGTACATTCGCCAGATGTCATTTATATATATTTATCACACAATAAAAAGCGAATAACAAATAGAAGTATTGTAATATAAATCATACCAATTCAACTATCTTAATCACATGTCTGACTTATACAAATATTTTATTGAAAAAAAGAACATTTGATCATATTCTTAAGTAACTAAACGATATAATAACTGAAACTCTTTTATTTTGATATTACAATACTTGTTTATTTCGGTAGAAATTAATCTATATATATATATATATACAGTGACATTTACCCCATCGATATAACTATCGAACCGTATCTAAAGTGCACATGATCATCGTTCTTAAAGGACGCATAACACACCCATTAAAAAAGATGAAAATAGTAAGATGTTCATATAAGAGACTTGTGTTTACTCGCGGAGATTTTATTCATAAGTCTGTAAAATCTCAAGTCGTATATATTTCTTAATTAAGGTTTTATATCGGTCAAAGAAACATATTGTTTAAAATGTACATAAACAAAAAAAAACGTCAACGAATTTTATTATTATCTAAAAAAAAACATTTCTTCACCAACATAATCGTAAAATATAAGCAAATAAATAAACCGTTTTTTAATTTACTGGGTTGATATTAAAAGCTCTTGCCACTGTACATCTTGAATTTTCATATCCATTAAATGATTAATAGTTTGTAAATGAAGACAATAATGAATTATTTGTGATAATTTTTGGTATGCTATCAATTCACCATAACGTTCTTTTAAATAAGACCACAATAAATTCGTATATTTTTCTTGAATTTTATATAAAATTAATGAACTAATATTACCATTATATCCCATAGATGTTGAAAAAAGTGAAATAATTAATATCAGTTGAATACATCTTGAATCATTAATACGATATTTAAATTGATGCAAACATAGATCAATACTTTCAATAAGTGATTTACCATAAATCATTTCAAGTAAAAGATTAATTGCACCCCATAATGGATAGGAATCATCCATTGTTTCAATTGAATTAAGTCTTAGTAGAAATCTTGTATTATGTGAATATAATGCTTTTTGTTCATCAATTGAAAATTGTTGAAAATCAGGTAAATGTTGAAAAAAATTAAATAATGTTGTTTTATGTTTTTGATAAAATTCAAAATAATGTTGATGTTTAATTCTTGTTTTTATTGGTAAATGACAAACTAATTCATATTCACGTTTTTCATAAGTCATTATTGGTGAACGACAATATTCTTCATAGATATTCGAGATATTTTTTAAATATGTTAAATCATTTTCAATTGAAAAATGTTGTCGATTCATTAATATTGAATTTAATTTTCGATTCGCCGTTATTTTTTCACGTTTTAATCGTTTAATATCATCTGTTAAGATTAATTCTTTTTTCATTCCAACTTCAAAACATTTCTTTAAACGACAATAAGAACAATCACGACGTGTTCGCATATTAATTGTACAATTTTCTGCTAGATAACGACATTGATAGGATTCCAAACCATATAAAGCATTACGACGGAAGAATGCTTTACAACACATACAGGTTATAACGGAAAAATTAAAGCCAGTTGATGGAGCACCACAAACTAAACACATTAAATCGCTTGATTTCATCCTTCTTTCAATCATATCGTTTGAAAGATAAAGCGACCTAGTTCCTCTTGTCGACACAGAATGCATTAGCTTTCGTTCTACCGCTTAAAGTACATTCAGTATATTTTTATATTTCAGCAGTCATTAACAAACAGTCGTCGTCTGCAATAGATAAACGACACAGTCTATGTACAAGTAACATTGATAGTAACGATCGAATCAAACCATTTTATAGTGACATCTTTCATCGAGAAGAAATTTAATTTTTTATTGATTTATAAATAGTTTTTAAGTTTTTTAATTATAAATTTTTGAAATATTTTTTTACAAAATTTATTTTATATAAAATACTTTCCAGACATTTTGTTTATGTGAATGAAGTGAACTTTAATAAACACATTGTCCTTCAATATTTAACTGTTCTTTGACAATGTTCTATAAAATAACACTACTCATATTTTCATTGATAATATCGGGCATATTCTGTCAAACAGATGATGAAGAATCATTTCTCTTTGTTACTAAACAAACTGTCAACCGATTTATAGTACAAGATAAAGAATTAACTATCAAATATAGTTTATACAATTCAGGACCAACGTAAAAACATAAAATTAATAACACAAAAAAAAAGAAACTTTTGTTCGTATACTTTAGAACGGTTTTCAATGTTAATCTAAATGATATTCATAGTTTTCCACAAGATCAATTTGAGTTACTTGTTGGTACACTCAATCCAAAATGGGAACGAATTAATGCGTAAATTTAATATTAAAAATCATGATTTTTCAAAAATAAATATATATTTTCTATTTTATATAGAGACACAAATTTAACACATGTTGTTGTTCTTAAACCAAAACAAAGTGGCATAAGTAATAGTACACATGCTGTTGTAACCTATCAAAAGAGTGAAAAAAATGCTGAAATTCAAGTAAGAAATAAATCTTTTAATTACACTGATATTTCATAAAGTAGCTAGAACTGAACAAGAAAAATTCATAGGACGTGTCATATAAGATTTCTTCTAGTTATCTATTTATGTCAATTTCGATTAAACGTAATTATTGCATTCACATGAATAAAGAAATCAAAGTTAATTTGAAATGAGACATGCGTTATGCTCATAAATAAAAGTCATAAACGTTTCTACAAAATATCAATCTGATGAAATTGACGTACTTTATTTTGCTATCGAGTGTAACTTTAATATTATATAAACAAATTTTTCTTTGTAGAAAACGTATTCATCTGAAATTGGTGATGTTTATATAATGACAAGTCGTGAATATGATCGACGATTTTCATCACATATTGTAATAATATATTTTTTTCTCTAGTCAAATAAACTTAATTTTCGTTTCTTATTTAGATTGATTGGATCCTTTTTACAGCAATGGCAAGTCCATGTATTGTCTTTCCATTTTTTCTTTGGTTTAAAAGTAAAAGCAAATATGAATTATTAGTAACCAAAGAAAAATCAGCAAAGAAAGCTCAATAGAAAAAAAATGGAAAACTTTATTCAAATTTTTTTTTTTGTTTTTGTTTTTATTTTAACTTCATATTGTATACGGTGATTGTTATTACTTATTCCGAACATTTTACGAGAATTTTAAAATAGAATGTCATTATTTTAGATCTAAAATGTTAAAACGTTCAGAAAAACTATGGATGGGCAGTGCCTTATTTTTTACTATATTTTCATTAGTTTGTAATCTTATTGGATTTTCAACTCCATTTTGGATTCAAATTTGGCCTCGGTATATTTTATCATATATTTTTTCGTAACAAAAAACTATTATTAATTGAATTTAGTGTTGGTGATACAACATTTCGTAAATTAGGACTTTGGCAAGTATGTATTGCTGGTTTTCGTAATCCAAAAAATTATTGGGGAAAAGTTTATTATGGTTGCTGGTGGTTATTTGCACGTGAATATAATGGATTACGAAATGATGGAATATTAACACCACGTATGTTGAAGTGATTTTGTTTGAGGGTAAGAATAATATCAACTATGATATTTTTGTTTTCATTATTCAGCATGGTTTATTGCTGTACAAACATTTGCATGTTTTGGTTTAATATTTAATATACTTTGTTGTGCTGCATTGATTGTTGTTGCTATAACACGATATCGTTTATCACGTCGTTCAATGCTTATTGGTTGTATTCTAGGTGCATGTGCTTGTAAGTGAACGATTTTATTTTGATTATTAATCGAGAAGAGAAACTAAAGATTTATCGTAAGAATGTGAACGTGTTAGAACAAGTCTCTAGCTATAATTTAAAATATCCTAAAAACGGAACAATGTCACTTCTAGAAGCATAGAGAGTCTGAGTTGACGCTTGTTTTAAATTAGAAAGTTTTTATATTGAAACCTTATATAATTGATAACTGTAGATGTAGATTTCAAAGTATTCTTTCTATCTTAAAAAACCATTCTTATCACATTTCCAAACGAATCATCAGAGTAGAGGGCAGCAGGTCCATGTTTTTTTGAACCCGTACCCGACCCAGATCCGGTCGTATCTCAGTCGACTCGCAGCTTCCTATATCAAAGCTTTTCGTTTTATTGATAACTAATGTTTCTGTTTTTAACAAATGGATTACTATTTCTTTTAAGGGTTTTTCAATTTTCTTACTGTTTTGATATTTGGCATCTATGCTGATGCTATTCCAGGAAAATGGATGCCACGAGCTGATTATACATTTTTATCGTGGTCTTTTCATTTTACGCTCGGTGCAATGATATCATCATTTTTTACTGGTAATAAATTTTTATTTTCTAAAAATACTTCATTCATGTCTATGTTATTTCTATATATATAGTTGGTTTTGTTTTATTTGAAATTTATTTTATCACTCAAGCTAAAAAAGAAAATAATGAAAAAACATTTATTCGTCATGTTGGTAATCCAAATCAACCATTTGTTCGAACAAGTGAAAAAGATGAACCAGCATTCACACGTAAAGCTACAAATGGTGAACAACCATTCATACGTAACAATGGTGATGATAATGAACATGCATTTATAAGACGTGCTGATAGTTCATCAGTACCAGTAGAAGAAGCATTCATTCGTCGAGCTGAGAATGGTGGATCCGATGGTGAAGAAGCTTTTATACGACGTGCAAGTGGTACAAATAATCCAGGAAATAAATATACCGTTTAAAAATTGTAAACATTCAAATTCAACTACATTCCATGTACAGATAGATCTGAGATATTATTCTTCTGTTTCAACCTATAATCTTTGTTTTACTGCTAATCATTATTCCGTCGTTCTTTTTTTGTGTATACTTTTATATCTGTCACATTTTTTTGTGCTTTTTTTCTGGTTTTATTATTAATATTTGGTAGACTTGAGAGATATTATTGTACTCTCATTTTATTTCGCATATTTACAATAAATTTGAATATTAAACTTCTTGCACATTAACTACACATCTTGATGCTCGTCTACTATTCAATTGAGAACTTATTATTGTATCACTACTAGGTCGTTTAGATGAATTACTTAATGGATAAGTAAATGTTTGTAATACTGAAGTTGATCGACGTGTATCTCGTCGACTATAGTAAGGTCCAGTACGAAGTTCTAAACCAAAATTTGAACTTGTCCGAATACGACTTGTTGCTCGTTTTCGTTGATAATCATCATCAAATTTTATTCGTATATATGCATAAATATCATCTAATGTTTCAATACAAGTTGCACGAAATTTTGAACCAGATAAACAATAAAATACAAAATTAGTCTAAAATATGAAAATGAAATCAATCTTCATAATAAAATACACTTACAGCTGCACTCATTTGAAGCCAAAGAACAGTTAAATTCGTTCTTAGAAAACGCATTTTAAGTCGTTTGATATTTCGATATTTAGGTGGATTTCGTTGACGAATATAATCAATAATAGCGGGTGTTGTAAATAAATAAAAACTTAATGAAACTGTAACAAGCATTATTGTTAATTGTTGTTGTTTTCGATTAAATGATGCTGCATTTATTTGATGTATAGCATTTTCGGGATTTATTAATGTTTGTGTTCGAGATCGTCGTGCCATACATAATTCATAAATAATAAATAAATTTACTAATAAAATAAGATCAGGTATAAAATAAAATATTGTTGGTTTTATAATTCGTATTAGCGTTTGATATTGTTGACGTACACCACATTTTTTTTGATATTTATCTATTGTATATATAATTGGAAATGTTATAGAAAATAAAAGAAACGCTATCAATATAAGTATATACATTGAATAACGTGCACGTTGTCTTGTACAAAATCGTTTAGCTAAAAATGGTGAATGAACAGCAATACAACGTTCGATTGTCATTATAACCATAATCCAAACACTTGTAAATGTAACGAAATCAGTTAGAAAAGCAAAAAAACAATGTAATATATATGATTGTACTGAATGTAATGTTACTAAACTTGTTATATGAACAATTAGAACGGATGTATCGAACACAGCTAAATATGTTATAAATACACTTGATGAGGTATCACGTAATGAACGACGATTTATAATAATAAGAGCCATACCATTACCACATATTCCACATATAACCATAATCAATTCGACAATCATTAACCAATAATTAACTTGTCGAATAAATTCATTGATTTCAATACGCATTGACGTATCATTAATGATTCCAATTGCTGAATGATTAATACTATATTTATTATACAGTACAGAGACTGAATGAATACTAGTTGTGTTCATGTTCTTGTTTTTTTTTATAGAAAAATAATCTAAAAATATGAAGAAATTGTTAATAGACGTATTATTCATATAAAATACAATACAATTGATTTTATTATTTACAAATGAATAATTTGTAATAAAAGGGAAAATGTGTTAAAATGTTTCCGGTAACTGAACGAATATAAAGCATTAGAACTTTTGTGTTACTATAACAAATGCAAATATTGGTAATAATCAGTTCGAAAGTAAGTTCTATCTTTTCTCTATAGAATTCTTATTTATGCTAAAACTTTTCTATGTTCTTCTCTTGAGAATTAATTTAGATTTACTGATCTATTTGTTATAATCTTCATTCATATTTGATTTAAACTATTCGGAATATTCTTTTATTGATAAAGAAAAAAAAATAGAAGATTTTTTGAGACTTATACAAAATCTCGACATCATACTTCGTACAAACCTATATGTTCTAGACTGAATTAAGATTATTAATATATGCAATCATCTTTTTCATATCTGTCAACATTGATGGAACAAATGATTTGTCTACTCTAGAATAATTTACTTACTCGTAATTTATTCTTTGTTTTCATTTGATCTTTCCCAAAAAGACATAATTATATTTCGATTATATTTTATCAATCAAACTATGATATATATATATCGAATTTCATAAGAAATCTAAGCATTGAAAATAGCTGGGTCACTTACATATGCATATAGATATATACTGACGTATAACAAACATAAACTAGATAGATTCTTGGAAAGAAACAATGTTAAAAGCTAGTTATTTAATAACGATTCATTGATTTTTCTACGAAGAATAATAACAGTCTGTTAAATCAACAAACATCTGGCAGTAATGGTCTGGTTGTTGTCGAATGTCGCTTTTCATTGTAATATTATTCATTCTAAATATACGATATATATATGATCTGAAAAGAATGACCTTACATTTCCATATAACAATCATATCCAGATTGTACTTTTTTTGCGCCTTCGCATATCTTGACGATAATATCGATAATCAACTGAGAAATGTCTTAAGAATAACTATAAAAACAAGAGAAAGGAATTTAGTTAATATCAACAAATCTTTTCCTTTTATCATTTACAAATGAATCATTTCGATAATCCATATAAGAATAAAATAAAAAAATTGATTTTTCGATAAATATCATTGTAATCTCTAATTGATTGTTTTTCCTTACATAGAGAATCTTTTTATCATTAGTTCGAAAATATAAGATCATTAACAATATCCCATGGAGATATACTTAATACGTAGAAGAAAGAATTAACTAAGAGATGTGTATATATATAGTATATTATTAAAGATAACAGTAAAGAAATATAATTAAAACACTTGTTGTTTTTTTCTTCATCTGCGGTTTTAAAATAATTCATCCTATGAATAGAAATAGTATTACCTCCTCTCTTCACATTAATAATTCAGATAATGTTGCAGCAATTGTAAAACATGATAATAAATACGTGTAAGTTGATTCTCTAGTTTTATTATAGCACATAGAATTCGTTAATGATAGTATAAAATACGCACGTAGAATTTCATTATATAGGAGAAACTGACAAATCAGTTTCCATTGTATATATATATATACTGTTAATCATTAAGAAACGTATTTTCTATGCTTTCATTGATATTTCTGTTTCTATTATTTTCTGCTTGGCTACAAATAGATATACATTTAGACCAGTCGATAATAATAAACAATGACGAGAGTTTCTTTCTACTTAAAAATAAAAAAATTAGAAATCAATTTTGATGAAAAACAAACAAAAGCGTTTATTGATTAGGAAATTTGATATCTATACAATAATAGAAAATTAATATCGAAATAGTCAAATATTTTTACATTAACACTTATTCATATGTAACAAAAAAAATATGTTACTTAATTTATGTATAAAATACGGCCTTATAATTGAATAAATCTATTGTTACATATTGATAAAATGTTCTAGTTGAAAGGATATATGATTATTTGTTATTTTTAGATGTATAGACAATCAATCAGATTCTGTCATTGCTTATAAAACTATATCAAGAAATATTTTATTTCTGATTAAAAAATTTCAAAGAATAGATGTGTCTATCAGTTTTAATTTAATTTTGGTTGATAATGATCACATTTAGCATCAGTTTTAATAATTGTAAAATTTGTACGATAATTATTTCCAACTGGTGAATGTGCTGAGACAAATAATAAAGCAGTACATGACATAGCTATAATAAATAATATAAAAAAAAGACGATCAAGTACTAATGCAACATGTTGCCATTCATCTAAACGTTGTTGATTATCAAATTTTGATAAATCATTACCAGTTTCATATTCATTAACGATATTTAATGGTATCAACCATTGTGTACGTATATGATATTTTATTTGATGTAATAATTTAAGTAATTCAATAGCCTAAAAAATAAATAATATGGAATAGTTTTGTTTTTTTGTTGTGAAATGTATATTACTTGTTGATTAACTGTTGGAACTGGTGTTGTTAGGGTGAATAAATTACACATACGTTTTTCTATACTACTTATACGTCGTGGTCGTTTTTCTTCAATTTCTTGTTTTGTTAATTTTGGTTGTTTTGATTCTTGATTTCTATTACAATAAAGTATTGGACTTAAATAATCAAGTAAAATTATTTTCATATGTGCTGGTACACAAGCAATATTTGATGTTGATGGTCGATGATATAAATATAGAACATATACAGTCATGACACATGATAAAAATACTAAGAAAAAATTTGCATTACAAAATAATGTTAATATAGGTGTATCATCATCAGATTTAGGTATATATTCCGTAAATAATTGTAAATAAATAACTAATGATAATAATATAGTTACATTTAATGTTAATTTTTCACCTGTTTGTGGTGGTAATAAAAATGTAAATAATGTTACAAATGAAACTAATGTAAATGGTAAAATTATTTTTATTAAATAATATAAATGATTACGTTTTAATATTAATGTAAATCGTACAAGACTATAATCAACTTGACCGAAATCCGAAACACGTTCATCCGTTATTTCTGTATATGAGTGTATTAATTCCCATTCACCACGTATAAATGAATGACCTTCGATAGGACGTCGTTGAATAAATTTTATTGTTTGACTATCATGTGAACCGCTACGAATTATTATTGTACATTGTTGTAGATCAAATGGAAAATAAGTTGAACGAATTTTACATATTGTTTTCCATAAATCTTGGAACATAAATCGAACATAACCTATAATTAGACAAAATTAAATGTTAATAATTTTAGTGAAGTTAAATAAGTACAAATAATATATATCATCTATTTATAAAATTACTAAAAACGTTTCAAGTACACGACAATTTAAAACTTGAGAATATATAAATTATTATTTTGTTTACTTTTTGGAAAAAAAAAAGAAAATTCTTACCATCATGTCGAAGAAGTAAAGCATAATGTTCACGATTTCGTGAATATTTTCCATCGGCTGAATTGACTACAACAACATCTGGTGTCCATAATTGATCTGAACCAACCGAAAGTTCTGATATATTAAAATGACTAACATTCCATGTCATATATGGATCACACCAAGCACATGTTAATTGAATATTACTTGTTACTATCTATATATATTATTTAATATGAGAAGTGTTGAATTGTAACAACAACAAAAAAAAAACAAACCTGTGCTCGTTCATCAACACTTTCAATTTGTAGAAATATTAAATTTGTATGAACTTTCGTAATACCTTCTTCCGGACAAACTTTTGCATCGTATGGTCGTTCATTAAATAATGATTTTCGAAGTCTTACTTCATTTGTATTAACATACGAGATTAGTAGAAAAATACTTAGTAAAACATAGAAAGAAGAATTAGTTGAATAAGTCATAATGTTATTCTGATATGAATGCACAAAGAAGCGAAAGAAAAAAGATGTTATAGACGTAGAGAATAGAGAGGAAGAAAACTGAGAAAATCTCTAAGGATTGATCTTCTCCGTATGTAAATCGGTCGCATACCGAAATTGACAAGCACAACCATTGATGACTTTCTCGTTTCCATAAATGCTCTTTTTTTTCTCTCTCTTTCTCTTTCTCAATCGACAAAACTCTATTAGTACGCTCTAGTTGTTAATCCAGTCGAGACTAGCTTCAGGGAAAATATAAAATCAAAGAGAAGAAAAAAAAACCCGACAGATTGAAAACATTTCTTGTCTTCTTTTTGGTAATTATGTAGCACATCTCAAAAGATCTTGATAAGATTTTTAAATACCTTGGGAAAGGTACAGATTGATTAACTTTTTACGAATCAAAAAAACATTTTTTTTCATTCCGGTTCTTTTTCTCTCCCCTCAAGACTTCCTAAGCACGTGTCCGGTACATTAATTATTATTCGTTTTAGTTCAATAAAATAAATCCATATAACATCATCATTATCAAATAAATTTAACATTTGTTTTTCTATTTTTTTTTTCGAATGACAAAATGTGAAAAAATTTGTCAGAATAGTGTAAATGTTGCTATGAGATGTTGGTAAGTAAATAGACGTCTAACAATTTAAAAAAATAACAACAAATTTTTCAACTGCTCTTATTCATCGAGTGCGTTCTTTCTGTCGTTAAACAAGAAAAAGGGAGAGAGAGAGAGAAAAATTGAATATATATTTAGTTCAATCGTCATGATTTTATGCTAAAGGTATAATTGTATTTTATCATTACACATAATTTCAAATTAGTAAACGCAAAGCGGTTTCCTCCCTTTTTCTTTTCTCTCATTCTCTTACGTTTCTATTAGATTTTTTTTTAATTTAAATATAAAAGATTTAAGTGATAGAAGCATATTAAAGTATGCGTTGTTATGTTCTTTTTATAATTGTTTCGATTTTTTTTTTTGGATTTGTTTTGTTGACATACACAATCTCTCTTTGAAAAGAATTGTTACGTCGTCTATACGGCATTTCGTTTGCGTCGTTTATAACAACAAGTAGAATATTAAAAAAAATTACTACTTCTTTTTTTTTTAATCGACACAATCAGTATGTATAGATTTACAAATTAGTTTGTAAGACAAAAAAAAATGTTTGATCTAGATATGGCAATGTCTGAGCAAGCACCATCATCTCGTAGTAGTTCACGTTTAGCAAAACTTTCATCAAATATGTTTTTTACTCGACATGTAGCACATCCACAACGTTGTAAACATATTGAAGGTATTCTTGGAATATCGAATATAACAAAAAAAACGAAACTTTTTCTTTTATAAAGGACTTAATGGTGCGATGATCTGTGCTGTAAATGATGATCCTTCTCTTATTCGTTCTGCATCGAGTGCACTTAGTTTTAACATGAGTAATTTACCTACTCTTCCGTCTTCACGGCGTGTTGAACGATTAGTTCCGAATACAGGCTTTTGGAGTACACATGGCATTGGTAAGTTTCTTTATTATATTACTATTTTTAATTAAGAATATTCTGTTTTTTTTATAGTTAATGATACTGAAAATTGGAAACGAGAATTAGCATCTTTAGCAAATGCTAGTGGACTTGGACTTGAAAAAGAAGATCGTAAACAGAATAAACCAGCAACAGCTGATCCACATGCTTCACGTTCCGGTGCACATTATTCAACACGAACAGGTCGATTCAACGAAGGAACTGCAAAATCAAGAGGACGTACAGGTTCGAAACATTCGACAGCATATTCAGATACGTTATTTAATGTACCTGAAAGTGAACGAGAAATGTGGGTAAGAAAACAAAAGAATCTTTCTTCATAAAGTAATATAATACTACAAAATAAACTTTTTTTAATCTAGATGTTACAAGTACTTTGTCAACTACTTGGTACAAGTGATTTAGAAGATGTTCAATCATGGCTCATATCAGCTTCACATACTGGTTTGTTTTCTATAATGATGTATAGAGTATGAATTCTTTTTTCTTATAGAAAAAGACCAAGCTCGTACAATGATTAATTCTGCACTTCGTGGTTTGAAAGAATCAGATCGTTCATCCGATCAATCTCAACAACCAGTTGATCTCGATTCATTATCAGAATTTGTTGAAAAGTAAATATTAATCTTATAAATAAATAAATTTTTTCATTTTATTTAATTCAGACAAAAAGTAGAAGGAAAACAAGCATCGCAAAAATTCATTAAAGAATCTCTGAATCGTCCTGTACATTCTTTACAACCAATCAATGAAGAATCAAATAATGATGCTAATAGTTCACCCGATCCATTAATCAATGCTGCATTAAAAAAACAATCAACTTTACCATTAGTAAATACAACAACATATCAAATATCTTTTCCTAATTATAATCAAAGTCCAGCTTCATCATTAGAAGCAATTACATCAAGTAATAGAAATAATATTCATAATGAAAATGAACAAAATCAATATAATCATGATGATAATGAAGAACAAATTGAAACAATACGACTCGATGATGATGTTCAACGAACTCGTTCACCACCAGTTTCAAATACAAAAAAACAAACACCATTACAACGATCATCATCAAATCATAAACAACGTCGTTTTGATTCATTTCAATTAAATGATAATAATACTGAAAATAAACGAAAAGAAACAGGTATTTCATCGAATAAAACAATTGAATCATCTAATGAAGATGATGATGTTAAAGCACGTCGAATCCGAGATTTACAAAATAAATTATCACAACAAGAAGAAGATTCGAAAAAACAAATAGATGAATTACAAACGAGACAATCACGTCTTGAAAATGCGTTGAAATTAATTGTTAAACAAACTGCATATGGTAAACGTCGTAAAGAAAATAATACCGGTAGTGACAGTAAAGTAACTTCTTTTTTAAATTATTTTATATTTTATTTTAAAAGAAAATCCTGATGGATCTCTTGCTAATATTGATTCACAGAAAGAAAATGATCATTTTGAAATCAATTCACAAAACTCATCGAATTTTACTAAGAGTCGAGATGGTAAGAATTACATTAAAATTTTTGTAGGATTTTGATTTTTTGTTATTTAGAAAATCGATCAAATAAATCATTTGGTGGTGTATGGAAACCCGATGCATCAGTACTTCATCGTATGCAAGGAAATTAATATATATATATTCTTATAAAAAAAAGAGAGACTAAAGTGAAAGAAATACAAATAAAAGTAAAAATTGAAAAAAAAAGAAAGAAAAATATTGTTTTTATCCAATTCGATTTCTATATGTAGAAAATAGATAAAGAATTTGTGTAACTAATGTAAAACTTGATAATATCAATGATATAATTTCTAAACCAGCTGACCAATCAAGACGAATATCATAATCACTAGCTGCTGTTTGTCGAATATTTTGTTCAAGACTATTTGTTAAATTTTGATTTTCTAAAATCAAAGAAAAAATCAACATGTTTTATTACTATCGTATTTTATTTACTCAGTGTAGTGAGACGATAATTTAAATTATAACGATATTGAAATAATTCATATGACATTGTTGAACCAAGTAAAATAAGTGTGATAAGAATGAATATAAAAGCAAGAAATAAAAATGATATTGTTATTATAGCTATACCAAAATGTGTTTTATATTTAAATTGATTAATAAGTAAATGTAAATAGATTAAAATAATAGATAAACTAAGGGTACAAGCTGATATAATTGTACTTGATATAAGACTTTTACTTGTGGGTGAATAATTACATCGATAAGGATTTCCAGCAACATTACATAAACGTTGAATTTCATTTGGATGAAGTTTTTTTATTATATTAGTTAAATTTTTATTTTCCGGTAAATATTTATTAGCATCACAAATCGAATAGATTTTATTAGTATCATTGACAACATTTATAAGATGATTTTCACAACGATGAAATAAACCAATAAACATTGTTTCACTAGGAGTTCGGCGATGTTCATAGATTCTATAGGAACAAAAAATTTGAATAAGATTTTTGTATCAAAATATTTCTTTTCTAATCTTTCTAAGTGTTAATAATTTCTAACTCATGTAATCTAACACTTAGAAAATATCAACTTTTTTATTCACGCTCTCTATATATCGAACATAAGTGTTCATGTAAAACATCTAATGATGTAAGATGTAAATATTTATTTTAAACAAAAACTTACTTCCATCGTGGATGTCCCATAGCAATCATATGAAAAATTAATGTTAAAATAGCTAATAATAAACCAGCAGTAAGATAAATACGACTTATTTCCAACATATTGAAATCAATAATTATATATATTATATAGATCAATATGAACTACCCTATGAATAATATAAATAGAAAAGAAAAAGTCTAGATGTTGTTACTAAGTGATTGCATAAACGAACGTAATCGAATCAAGATAATCATTTATTATACCTTTTCATACGTTCTTATAATCATATGACAAAAATAATTATTCAAAAGTTTTAATATGGCTTCTATACCATATACTTTATCATAAATACAATCAAACCAAAAAAGAGTGAAAAATGTTCTCTTTCTCTTCCTCGATTAATATTCAGTACTTTTACTCTTTAAATTTGACTTGTGTTCGATAACACACCTAAGAAGAGAACGAGATGTTATTACATTTGTTTTCTTTTGCTTACATTTTCTCTTCTACATACATGACATAATCACTTTCTTTTCACCTGTTCACAATGATTGAGTACTATACATATCAGATGTATCATTTTCGATTTCGATTTTTTTTTTCTCTCTATTGTATGTTTTAACAAGAAATTTAATACATTCATTTAATTGTTAACAATGATTTATTCCTTGAAAAATGAAACACAGTTGGCCAAGCAATTTTATACTGTTTTCTAAAATTTAAAAATAGAATCTAAGAAAAACAATATTAATTAAGACTAAGAAATATTTGATTTGAAATCATTCGTTCATTAATAATCAAATTATATCGTTTAACGTTTAAAATTTCATTAATATAATAAGATTATTGCCGAAGTCATAGGAACAGTTGGCTGACAATATAGAACATCGTTTCTTTAAACATATGCTCTGTATAAGAAAAAAAAATATTACGTTAGAATTTTCAAATGAGTAGTAATAATATCAATGAAGTTTATGTATAAGATAAAAGATGATCCATTTTATTGTAAAACTTTATTTAGAAGCTCTGTGAAAAATTTTTATTTTATTTTCAATAGACTACTTGTCATTTTTTTGTTTTAGTGAAATGAAAGTATATTTCTTCATTCGTATCCTAATAAATAATTAAATAATGAGCACTTGAAAGAATTAAATACACTTATTTAACTGCTAGTTTTATTATTTTCTTTCACTTTTTCTTTTGTGAAACTTAACTACACACTTTTTGTTAGTTACATTTAAAAAAAACAAGAAAATATATATACAACTCAAAGATAGTCATGAATTCTAATGTAAATCCAACACCAAGACAAAATCATACTAATGCATCAGTATCATTTACAAATGAGACAATTCTTCAACAAGAAAAAAAAGAAGGTTTAACAACAAAACTTCGTCAAACTGTAAATGCCATTGGTAAACGTGGAGCAGGTGGGCGGAATAGACAAATACCTTTACCTGATTTAACAAGTTTAACTCCACAAAGTCAAGTAAAATGATATAAATATAATATATTTGTTCATAATTGTATTTCTTAGGAACTTATTTTACAAACAGTTGAAAAAATAAAAAATGAAGATAGTGAACAAGTAATCGTAACATTAGATGAGAGTCGCGATATATTACGAAGTTTATATGAAGAATTTCAAAATGAACAAAGTGAATATAAGAAAAAGCTTGAACAAATAACAAGAAATAAAGAAGCAGCAATACGAAGACGAAGAGGTTGAGATAAATGTTTATTTTTATTATTATTATTATTTATTTATATATCTTATAGAAAATGCGGTACCAATTTCATTGTTTCTACGACAAAAGAAAGATACTGAAGGTTCTGCTGATCTACGTCCAAATTCAAGTATGAATGAAACATATCAAGCGCATTTTCAAGCTCTTCTTACAACGAATCAAAATCCGGATCAACATCCAACAGATAAAGCTGCTGTTATTAAATATATTCGTCGACGTGAACGACGAAAACGTGCTGAACAAAATCGAAAAAGTTATGAAGTAACTGATGAGACTCTTGAAAAAGTAATAGAAAAATTTTTTAATAATCATAAAAGAAATTCTTTGTTTGTTTTTATTTAGCAAACTGTAGACTTAATGGATGAATTGGATAGTATGGATATGAAATTCGAACGTGAACGACAAAGACAGAATGAAATATCACGTACAAAAATGCAACAACAGAGGATTAAATCACATAATGTACTTGAAGCGAAAGGAATAATTGATCAAGCACATGAAGCAAATTTAATGTAAATAAAAAAATAGATATTTAGTTCGAGATAATAGAAATTAAAGTAATGGTGAAAATTCAGAGTTTCTTCTTTGTCTAAATCGTATATTCTGATAGACTTATACATTTCTGTTCGTTCTTTTAAATTGTAGTTGAACTTTTTCGAGTTTCGATAATTGAATATTAGTCAAATAGTGTTTCTAATGAAAGTATAATATAAAATATTCATGTCTCCTGGTTACACAATGAAAATACAATTTTGTAGATCATAAATAAATTAGATAATATTCATAGATTTTATATAGGCTACATAGTGAAAATTTTCAAAATTAGATAGTCTAGTTAGTAAAATTCGCGTCCGACAATAAAAAATATAACTAAACTTTTAAGGATATAATAAATAAAACTTATTTTGATTTCTTCTTGTCAGTTTCTCAAGTAACAGCAGAACCTTTTACATATACTATTCTTACTTAGCAACGGGTCAAACTAACTTTTGCACTTGATAGTAGTATTTTGAGTAAAATGCTACTAATAATCAAAGTAGCGGTATTAAGCACTGAAACCGATCGAAAATTTTCATTCTTTAGAAATTACATGAGCAATATTCGTATACATTCTATATTGTTTTAGACGTCAACGTGCTGAACAAGCACAGCGAGAAAAAATTGAAGCACGTTTATCAGCAGTACGTCGTCGAACACCATCAGCACAAGCACATAGTATTCATGTTCAAAGTCCTGCAAACGATCGAGAGACAGATTCACAATTAACTAATGAACAAAGAGCGGCAACTCAAAATTCTATTCGAATATTAAATGACAATGATGCATTTAAAGATCTCGATGATGAACTCACTAAAATTAATATATAATCCAATTTTTTCTTTTAAATAAAATTAAACTAAACAGCAAAAACAAAACAAAAATATATTTTATTTAAATAACTGTTTTTGAGGAGAGGCCATCTTGAATATATTTAATAATTGAACGTAAGAGAGCAGTTGCTGAAGATTTTTGATCAAAATTTGTTTGAAGTAATTCTAATGCTTTATTACTTTCTCTTAAACACTGTTCACGACATTTATCTAGTAATTTTTCATCATTTAATTCTTCAACAGTGACTTTATCATTTGTTGATCTAGTCGAAATTGAATAGGGAAATGAACGATCTATAGGTACATTTCCGTATAATGCTAAAGTAGATGAATCATTTGAGATTGAAGATGAATATTGAGATATTTCATTGTACATTATACATGAAAATATAATATGACGACATAGATAATATGCTTGATCTTGAAATGATGATGGATGATCAACTAATTGTAGAGAAGCACGACAACCTGATGCAACCAAATTCGCTACGGACCTAGAAAATAAATTGATTAATAAACTAAGAAATTCTATTAAAAACATACAACAAACGAGACATTTTTAAAAATGTATATTTATGATAATAGAACCTCAATACTTAAGTAATTAACAAATGGTCTTAACACTACGTTTTTCTTCAATGTCAACTCAGATACAGTCAATTTTACTCTCAGTACGCTATAACATAAATCAATAAAAACGAATAATTCGTAATACATGTCCGTTTTATGTTAAAAATAACTAAAATATTCAAGAGAATACCGCTTGAAATTCTCGACAAGTTATACTGTTAAGCTTATTGTAACTATTTTCTAAAAACACAAAATTTTCTACGACTATTTTTCACATGATTGAAATTTTCTTTTTTTCTCGAAAACAAAATTTAATTATAAAGAAAAATCATGTTATGCAAAATATAGAGCTCTTCCCGATCCATCTTCTCGTATATTTTGTTTTCTGATAAAACTGATCTATTAATTAAAATATGGAGTGCAAAGGAGCATACATCTGTTATGAGTTGCTAGTTACTCTACTTAATTAAATAGGATACAGACATATGTTATTTCTTTAAAAAAAACGCATGAGATATATCCTTTTCATGGAAAACACATTCTACTCATAAAGTTAAATACCTTACAGTAAATTTATTTAAAACGGAAAGTAGTATCCTAACAACCAAACTCAAACGAATAGTATAGACATCATTTTTATTTAAGTTCAGCTAGTAGAAAGAAGTAAAATAGTACATACAATGCAGTTAATTGATACCATTCCGTTAATGATGAAAGTGATTGTTTATCTTTTAAATAAAAATCTGCTTTACACATATCAGCGATTGCATTACCAATAGTTTCTACAACCTAATAATAACTATCGAATAATTAAATAAAAAACAAATTAAGTATTTCTATATTACTTGAGGTTTTCCAAATTCAGCTAATTTACCACAAGCTTGTGATAAAAGATAATCACCACCTAATACTGCTATTTTATTTCCTTGTTCTAAATCATATTGATTTTCTTTTAAATCAACAATACCTATAAAAAAAATCAATGGATTTATTGTTAGATTCTATTATTTTTCTTACCTCGATGACCAAGAATGCCCAGATGAACTAAAATGAAAGAAAAAAAAATAATATCGAAAAAAAACAAAGAATTCAATTATTACTCATTTCAATTAATTCCGCTAATTGTCGTTGATGTTCATGAATTCCATGTTTAATCATATCTTCTTGATAATTTCGTTGAGGAATTCCTGCTGCTTTTGATATTAATAGAAGTAAAACAGATCGTGAATGTGCTGTTTTTGGTGGACTTTCTAACATATTAGTACCAAGTTTAAGTAATGGATGTTGTGTACCAACTAATTTTCTTAAATAACCAATTAATGTCGAAACTTCTTCATTAAATAAATATTTCAGATTAACTAATGAATTTAATGAAGACGGATAACCAATAATTTTTTCCCCTTGACTTAATAATGGTTGCCAATTAGGCGTTTTATTTTTAATATGAACATAAAATCCATTGGATGAAAGAAAACGAGCTACTGGAGATAATCTCATTATATTATTTCTTTTATCTAAAGACAAAATTTTTCATATGAAGATTATGCATGTTAAGCATTTTTATTTATTATACGACAAAAAAAAGAAAAGGAAAAACGAATATACAAAAAACAAAAGAAACGATCAATGTTCAATTAACCAGAAAGATCATCAGCTTCGTAAGCTGCTTGGTCATATAATTCAGCTTTAATCACTCGACCACCAAAATATCGACCATTTAATGATTCAACCGTTTTTTCTACTTGTTTACTCGTTCGAAATTCTACAAAAATTTTCACAAGTTGTTCTGCATTATCATCTTCTCCTTGTTGTTCCTTATAAATAACAACGTCAACAACTTCACCATATTTTGAACATTCCTCTATAAAATGAAAAAGAATTTTTTTTATAAAAAAATATTATAAAATAAATATATATATATAATAGTTAACCTTTTACATCCTGTTGTAAATCTTCATCAACATCTTCTGGACCAACCATATTTTTTAAAACACATACACGTGAATCAAGTCGACGTTGATTTAATTTTTGCATTAATAGATGTCTTTGTTCACGTCCTAAGATGAAAAAATATAATTATTTAGAATTAAACAATTACAAGTTCATGTTTTTGAAATCTTTTAAATTCGAATAAACTCAAACGAAAGGCTCATAAATCCTATAAGAGTTTATGATACTGGCATATACTTTTAAAGAGTTGAACTTACTGACACTCACCCTTAAAACGTTTATGAAAAGTTGATTATTCTCCACTTTTTTTTATAGTGTGAGCTTCTATTGCGATTTACATAGCTTTTAAAGTATTCATACTTACAGTTTGTGTGACTTATTTTCGTGCTTTTGTTTATTCACAAGGTTTTACGGCTTCACTCCGAAAGAAATTAATAAAGAGTGACGCACATGAGTGTTTGAAAAGCTTCTACGTCAATTGTGTTGTCAAGCAATAAATCTTACTGAAATTTTTAGAAGAACTGCATCTGAGATTAGGTATCTCACTTTGATAGATTAACATACTGATATTCGTGTGTCCCAAATCTCTTTACTATTTCAGATGCTAGAAAGTTCGATTTGACTTTAAAATGTGTTTACAGTAGTTTAACAATTACTGTGTAGATGACTTAATGGGTGTATCTGATAGCTTAATGCTATTAGTAGTGTTAATTTTCAATGAACTTTTAAGAAATTAATGAAAGTTACCTTTAACACTGAGTTCTTCTTGTTGAGATAAAGTCGCCGAAGGATCATCAACATTAATTAAACTTGCAGTAGGTTTTTCATCATTAATTGATTCAGATTTATTTGTTGGTAAAACAAGTGAAATTGATGGATATTGTTGCTGGTGTGGTGATTGTTCTAAAGCTGCTTTTAATCCAATTGGAATTGGTGGTTCTTCAAGTAGGGTAGGTGGAGGTGGAGGTGGTGGAATGATAACTATAATAGAAAATCGAATTTATTTTCTCTATCTTAATAGATATAAATTTTACCTTGTGGAGGTGGAATAGGTGTTTGTTGTGTTGGTGGTGGTGGAGTGGGAAGATTTACTGCAGCTGGTGTAACAAAACTTACGCTAAAGTTGAATAGATTTTAAATTATTTATCGAGAAAAAGAACAACTTACTTTGAACGAATTCCAGGTGAACTAACAGTTGGAGCTTGAGGGATAGGATTTGTTACAGCTGCAGTTGGATTGAGTATATTAGAAATGACTAAAGATGAATATAAAAATACCGATTATATATTAGAAATGATTTTCATACCTGATGTAACAGCAGTTGCACCAGAATAAGAAGCAGCTGAAAGAGCAGCAGCTACAGTTGTTGGTGCTAGAGGACCAGTGGCAAAACCAACTTGTGTTAATGGATTATTGCTCATTTGAGAAGTAGCCACAGTTGATTGTGGATTATTTTCAACATCGTTCGCTTGTAATTGAGCTGTTATAGTGGCAACAGCTAATGCCGTAGCTGTTGGCATAGGACTTGCAATAGGTTGTGCTGATGCAAATAAACCTTCAGGTGGTGTTATTGCTTTTCCTACTCGAAGATGTTGTCCACCAAGATCAAATAAATTCATTGCACTAATTGCATCTTGAGCTGCTTGAACTGTATCGTATTCAATAAAACCATAACCTTTATGTTTAGTTGCTCCTGCATCTTTTGATAAAGCACAACTGATTATTTTACCTATACGAAAAGATATTATTTCATGAATATATTTGTTTTCTTTCTTACCGAAAGCTTCAAAAACACTTTGAATATCGGTTTCAGTTAAATCTTGATGAATTGAAGCAATATAAATTCGATTATAATTTTTTGCTTCTTCAGTTAATTGATCAATAATTGGTTGTGCTTGTGGCATATTCGATGGTCGACCAACTTTAATATTTCGTCCGCCAAGAATAACTCCATTCATTTGTTCAATTGATAATTGTGCTGCTTCAGGTATTTCATATTCAAGAAAAGCAAAACCTTTATGACGATTAGTAACTGGATCAAATGTTAATGAAACCGCTTTCACTGGACCGAACGGTGCAAATGCTGTTTTAAGCATTGCTTCATTTAATTCAAAATTAATACTTCCAATATAAATTCGACACATTAATAAAAGTGCTTGTTGTTTTTTCAGAATATCTAATTGTGTACGTTGTTGATATTGTTGTTGTCGAACAAGAACATATTTAACACTTTGTTCCATAGCAAATTTTTTTGCACGTTTGACATTATCATCATCGGCTGATCGAACTTTATAACGTCCTGTATCACGTTTAGCACCTGGTCCTTTAAATAATGGACCACGTTGATCAAGTTCCATTGGAATTGTAAATGTTGCAAATGGTGTAAGTTCACGTGGTAAACGTGGAATATTTTCTTTCGAATATTTTTTCTTTTCAACACCATTTGTTGTTTGAATTCCATTAGAATGTTCTATAAAATACAAACAAAAAATAAATTTTTATACAAACTTCTACAATGAAGAATATTAGACGATCAGGCATACGAATAAGATGTTTGAATATTGTAGCTGAAAAAGGGATAGAGAGAAAGAGAAAAAACAAACGAATATGTATAAAAAAAATAAGAAAGTATTCGTTTTTTTCCTTAATGATAAGTAGATTATTGCTGGGTACCTAAAATAGGGAGACAAAAAAAATAGATCAAAATAAAAGATTCTTTTTCATTTCGTTGCCGATGATTGAATGTAGATGGACGAAACTCACACAATTGATAAATGTTCCTCTGCAACACGGAAAGGAAAAGAGAAAAAAACAAAACCGAGTTATTTTTTTATATCAATAAGCCAAAATTTTTTCAAAAAAAGAAATAAATGTTTTAATAAGCATAAGAAAAATCAATAGAGTATTAGAGTCGATTAAACTCACCTAGATTCGGTACATTTTGTTGATCAACAATCATCGCTTCAGTCATGTTTGTTTTTAATCTAAAACGAAAGAAATTTCTACATTTCTATATCACAGTAAATTGATTAGAAAAGAAATTATTAGTTATTTTAATTATGTATCTACAATAACAATAACAATACAAAAAAAAAGAATTATATTCATATTAAGGTACAATTAAATACGATTGCAATGGCATAAATTGATTTTCATTATGACAATCTTGTAACCAATCAAGATTAATAAAATTTATTTCTGGATTAGATCTTGAAATCTAAATATAGAACAAAGACAAATGATTTATTTCTGTTATAGATATCTAATGTCTCAAATATATCTAGTCATTGATAAAAGTCCAAGTTTTTATGTTGAGCAATATCCTAACATTGTGCAACTACTAATAATACGTCTAGACAGATTATATCAATCTTTCGAAATTAACTATATTCTTTTAAAGGAGAAATTAAAACGTTAATTAAACCTTTTCGAAATCTTGATTCCACATTCGATTTGTAATAACATATTTAACATCTGACGTAATTTGTCTTTCGAGAATTCCATCATAAGCAAGAATAACTCGTGTTATAGCCAAAAGTGTATTATCATCATAATCACCATAGGATACATAAAAATGTTTTTCATGAAAAAAATCTGGTATTTCACCAATTCTTAATTTATTTGTTTTAACATCATCATCATTTTTAGTTATTGATTTTCTTGTAACATCTTTTGTATTATTTGATTCTTCTACATCTTCTTTCTTTTTTCTTTTCGAAGTTTTGTTCGATATTTCAGATTTTGTTTCATTAAATTCATAAGATTTTTCAGATAATAATTGATTTTGTTTATAACAATCAAGTATCCATTTTTTATTAACAATAAAACCTTTTCCTGTTTGTTGAACTTGATTCGATTTTGGTGTATTTGACAATGCCGAACTAAAATTAACATAGAGAGAAAAAAGAAAATCAATTTATCTATAACATACATAAGATGTGTACATTTTTCATCCCAATCATCATTATAAATAGCACCCATTGCTGTTCCTTTCTTACGTAATTCAGTTCTTACTGGATTTTTAAAACCACTGACAACAAAAACAATATTTTTCATTATTTGAGATTTATCTGTTTTTTGTATTTCATCAATAGATGAGTTTTTCTCTGATTCTATCTGATTATTTTCATCTGAATATAATTTAATAAAATTTAAACCAAATTGATTTGTATGATTAAATTTTTGATCACAAATAATTTTTAATCGAGTCCATTTTTGATTTAAAGATGTTTTATTAAAATGAAATGATTTACAGTTTTTAATTTGTAAACAATTTATATTTGAACGTGATTCTTTTGGTGTCATGAGAATTGTTGATGGTAAAAGAATAGTCCAATCATCATCATCTGAATTCGATACAAATAATTCAATAAATGCACTACCATTATTACCAATATCAAGTGAATTGATTAAACTAGGTTTTTCTAATTCAATAATACATATTATACGATCTTCGGTACCTGTCGATGATAACCATTTTTTTGATTTAAGTAAATTTTCAGCACAATGTATCTGAATGAAAAGAGATTATAGATAGAATAAGAATAGACTCAATCAACGAACTTGATCTTCACTTGAACAGGAAACAATTTTTTTGAACTTAATTGATGACATTCGAATTGAATTGAAAATGTACAATAAAATAAGAGAAAGAATGAAGCAATGTAATGGTACAGAAAAATTATCATTGGCAAATTAATCGAGAATATATATGTTACAACAAAAGATGTCACTAAAATACGCTAATTCAGATTTTATATTATTTTATTCCAAAAATATAACAAACAAACAAAAAAAAGTTATGCAGATTACTGGCAGTATGAATAAATTTGGATAACATATAAAGCTCATGTTTGTCTTATGAACAAAAAAGAAAAATTTAGTCAGTATCTGTATCAGATGATAATGTTTCTTCTTGATAATCAAGTGTTCTGCCTATAGTTGTTTGAGAAAGAGGTTCTTCAATTACAGTTGTAGTTGTTTGTTGATTAAATATCAAAGCAGTAGGAGAAAATGTTCGATAGGATTCAGTTAAATTTACTGAACGATGTGGTTGACCATCGGTAGCCCAATCTTCTAGCATATACATTCGTGCACGAGCTATATCATTGAGCATAATTTCATCGACTGCATAAGTATCCATTGTAATATGTGTACGTGGTAAAAGTAAATTAGCAGGTATAAATTGAAGTATACTTAGAATATGATCAATAATTTCACCATAATTTCGACCTTTATCTACTTGATAAAGAATACGTAAACGACGAAGCCATATTTCGAGTTCGTTATTAGTAAATAGAATACGTGTGTTATTTGTATCATAGAAAGTCGGCATTCGAGTCTTATCAAGAAAGAGTACATAACGAGGATGTGTATTGGATGATGATCCTGATTTATCACCTGATTTAAGATAACTTGAAGTTGATTTTGATGCATGGGGTCGAGAACTTGAAGCTGGTCGGTGCATTCCATGAGAATTTCCTGGTGTTCTACGTGTTAATACACTGTCATCATTAGTTCGTGGTGTATCTAATGCTGAATCACTTGCATGAAAACTTTTTGATTTAGTTGATGGCTAAGAAAAATAACAAAAAATAACAAAAGAAATAAAAATTAACGATCAATACTTGTTCTAGTTTTTGTTGTGTTGGAAGTGCAACAAATTTAAATAATTGAAGTTGTTTAATTAAAAGATCTTTACATGGTTTTTTTAAATGTTCAATCATATATTCATCGGCTAATTGAAGAAAATTTTCAATATTATCATCTGTAATCTGACCATTAAATTGTGGATAAATATATTTTAATAAATCAAGTATTGCTTCACTTGATTTACCTTCTAAAACAATTTCTCGTTCATTATGTTCTTTAAATTGACCGTCGAACATACGTTGAAATACAGGTGAAACTAATGATAACAATAAACGATGACAATAAAATTTTTCTTTTCCAACGATTAAAATAACATCAGATTGATGATTGATTGTATTTGTTGAATCAGTAAAATATTCTAATGGTGAAAGTGGTGTAGATGACAGTCGTAGTAATTCTGGCGTCACCGATTCCGATTCCATTGAATATGTATAGGTAAAATGTCTATGACAATGTTTTATTTCTGTTGAAAGAACGATAGAACAAGGTAAAAACTTTAAAAAAAGAAATTCGATGTGTTATTTATTACTCGATTTTCTATTTTTCCTTAACTACGTCTACTGCGCTCTGAGGTTGATCCGTCAATATGATTGGAAAGAAATAAAAACATATTATTGACAGTATGAAATTCAATGCATCGTATGTGCACACGCGTAAAAAATGTAAAGAAAAAGAAAATTTTGTAAATGCTTGCATGTCATATTAGAGGACGCAATAATAAGGTAAAAAAATATAATATATGAGTAAGCAGTCATATAGGACAGCTGTTGTTTACAGTACTATGTATCTCTTAGGGAATATACCCTATACAAGTAAAATGAATAATAGGTTTTTTTTTCTCAAGGATACGTATTTTAATGTCATTGATGAGGAAAAGAAAAGGAAGAATTTTTTATTAGTAAGATATAATCATTGCTGATTCATCAAGTGTTATTACGAATACTTCATTGATTGGTCCAATTTAAAAACGTTTATAGTAATTATTTACCAGACAGCTTATTTTATATTTATTTTCTCAAAATGGCGTACTCAGAAAATTAGTGAGGACCACTGAAATACTCTTAATTTAGATAAACATATGTTCGATAGTAAAGTATCCAATAAAATTAAAGTCAAATATATAATCTGTCAATCAGCTTTATGAAATAATTGTAATAAGGTACTGCTATTACCAATTTTTATATTACATATTATATGAATTATGCAAAAGAATACAACAAAAAACCTAATAAATGATTGAGATTGATCGATTTATATAGCCAATTCTTCAATTCTCGTTCCATTTTACGACAAAACTCAAACTATTATCATATGTGGTCACCGTTTTAAGGAAACCAACGAGTTAAGGGAAAATATGGAAACCATTAAAGAGGCTCAAGAAACGAAGTATGATTGGTCGTTGATATCATAAATAGAAATGATCTCATTCATTGATGATTTGTATAGAATCAGTCAAGGGATCGTATTTTGACGATGAACATGATGATTCCATAAGTCAAAATATTGACTACTGTGAAATTATATGAAAAATTTTTCACGTTAAATTTAAAAGAAATATAGTTGAAATTTATCTATTCCATGAGATAAGTCGAGTTATCTTATAGATATATATACTAACTAATTTAAACGAAATATGATTGAGATCTGGTTTATTACATGAGATAAGTCGAGTTATCGCATAGATATATATATACTAACTAAATTTAAAAGAAATATTATCGAAATATGATTCATTACATGAGATACGTCGAGTTATCTCATAGTTATATTATATAT